AGAGAGAGAGAGAGAGAGAGAGAGAGAGAGAGAGAGAGAGAGAGAGAGAGAGAGAGAGAGTTCTCATTGATCGGTTGTCTCCACCATGAAGGAATTCTCTGTCATATTTGTTTTTGCGAGCGAAGCCGCAACAGGTCATCTAGTAAGGGTTATAACCCAATGCACAGTGCCAAGTTTTTTGGTATTCCATCTGTCACTTTGCCAATTGCAGAAACGGACTCCAGGTAACAAGTGTCGGATTCAAGACAGAGACCTGGATGTAGTCAGTGGTCCCAGTAGTATTGCAATCGTCGATTCTATTTACAAAGGCCTGAAGGACCTTGTTTCAAGTTTTTAAGCCATTCAAAAAATGCGTTAACATGAAAACAATGGTAAGAAGTGTTACTGATTATCCACCACTTTCACTTCTGTGAGCAATTCTGCTAACAAGGAGGCTACTGCACAACTTTACTGAACTTTCCGCCTATGCCTGAAACTTTGTTGCAGAAAAGATCCTTGAATAAGTTGCTTATATGTGTTTAATCCTTCTATTCTTTGTGCAGAGAACAAGAAGCTAGAAGAGTGGATCTCTTTGCGAGGTTTACCTGGTGTGCCGGCAAGTTCTGGGCGCAGCAAGGAGTGCTCAAGATGGCCTAGAGTACGACCGAGAGTCTTTGAGGGCAGGAAGCAGAAGGGACAAGCAAGCCAGGAGGACTGGCTTGTGGACGACCATGTCGAGGTTTACTGCAACGATGGGTAAGTCGTTTGTTTCCTGGTACAGAAGACTTCCCAACAAGCAATGGTTAGATATGAGAGAATGAAGTTGCACGTTGAGTCGAGTAAGGAGTAGTGGGCACTAACTTCATTTTCTTTACATGCTATGTGAATTGTCCAGAATCCCATTTTGGGTGCATTTCAGAGCACGGTTTCTTCACACGTTTCCTGAGACTTTGGCTGAAAGATTTTCTGGGATTTGCCAAAAGCATCATCACGCGATGCTCATGTATGTACAGTTGATGTCCCTATGCATGCATTAAGAGACTGTTGTGATAGGGAAGAAGGCTAAGCCGGTCTCGGTCTTGCTAGAAATAACCAAGGAAGAGGCAATGGCCAAAGAGGGAGAAATTATGCGGGTGATTAGGGAAAGGTGTGCGACGGAAGGGCATCGGATAGTGGATGAGGTAACGGACACCATGAAGATAGGAGTGGATGTTTTTCTGACAGATCAGGAGAAAGGTCTGATTAAGGAGACCTGTAAGGAAATTTACCTTGCCTTTGCGTTTAATGATCATCAGAAGGGGCAGCTAGTCGCAAGGTTGATACCGCCAGTTAGGATTCACACGGTGGAGCATGAATGTTGGAATGATAAGGGCCCGACCTATGATTACGGGATAGCGGGCGGCCACAAGAGAAAACGTGTGATGGGTTCTTCAATGTTAGCGACTTTGCAAAGCAGCAAAAGGAAAGAGAAGGCATTGCATTGGAGGTGGACATAGTCTCTGTTTTCTTGGCTGTTGACCGCCAAGCAAGCTGAGACATGTGCTAAGAAGGGTTCAGCATATACATGAATGTGCTCTAGCTCAATCCGTTTGTTCAACTTTGTTGTCCTTTTGCCTTTCCAAGCAGGAAATTAGGTAGGTTATGCTAATGGTTGCTGCTGTCTGACTTTGACAATGCCTGTGGGTTGCATAAAGCTTTTCATTCCTGTAGGGTTGTCTTGTGATCTTTGGTCTCTGCGTTCTTTTTCAATTCATTGGTCACATCATTTCAACGGATGTCCGTCTGCGTTTTCATGGCAGGTGGTGGGAAGGGATTGTGAAGGATGTAAAAGGAGAATTGCTGGAGGTACATTTTCCAGGTAGGTAGTAGCACGAAGTATTTCTATTTCACTTTCCAACCGAAGGTCACGGTTTCCCATGGAAGAAGTGCCACAGGCGGGACTGTCTGAGCTTCCTGTAAAGCACTCCTCTTATTTGTTGTTCTGCCTGCTGTCACCGGGTGCACATCCAGTTTTTTGAGAAAGCAAAGGTGTTGGATGTTCGGTTAGTTCGCTAGGCTGGGCATCTGGCGGGGCTCAGGTTGTGCGGATGCTGACATGAAAGTCTGAAGGTGGACAAGGATTGGCATGAGTATGCTGTCCAATGGGAACAAAGCATACTTGCAACTGTGTAATGTGAACAACCATGCTTGCAGCTGCCATGTACAGTGCAGTGAAGAAAAACTAGGCGGGGTGTGCTCAGAATGGGTTTTCACATCACATATGTTTTTGTTTTGGAATGTTTTGATTTGTTTTCCAGACCACCAGTTGTGTCGAGCCTACCCTGAAAACTTTTAACTCCTGGACCTCGAAGTCAAGGGTACCGGGCATGGGAAAACTCGAGCCGGTACTGGCACCGGCCTTCGTGTAACTACGATTGGACAAGAGGCCTGAAACCTGGAATAGAAAAAGGGCCTCTGTCTGTTTTTCTTCTTCTTTTTGTGTTTTGTTTTGTTATTTTTTTCGTTTTCTGGTTTGCGTTCACAGAAAGTCCACTCTCTTAAAAGTTCCTCCTTTTGTAACAACGCACGCACCACCACCGTCATGCTCTGCCACAGTTTCCGAGCCTGTAATGGGATCAACGACACTCCTGCACATTCATGTGTTAGGCAGAGAGGGGTTTGGGGGGATGGGGGGGGGGGGTAGCAGCCCTGGACAAGTGGTCATCCACGTCATCGTTTCTGCCATGTGTCATCATCTCTCTCTCTCTCTCTCTCTCTCTCTCTCTCTCTCTCTCTCTGTGTCGCGGGCGCGCGTACCTTTTCAAGGAAGAAAGGAAAGGAAAAAAGGAAAACACTGCACACACACACACATACACGCGCGGATATCACACTCTCTTTCTCTGTCTATCTTTCTCCCTGAAAGCTAACCACTTCCACAAGAACAAAGGCAGGGGTAGGATGAGGATGAGGAGCGTTAACAGGGGGAGGTGTAGGAGGAAATGCAAGGGCCGAGGGTGTCTGTCTGTCTGTCTCTATGTCTGAAGTTAGCTATGTCAACCAACGACGAGCCACTCCCTCGATGTGCTTGCAAGCTTCACCCGATGTCCATTCAGACGCACCTGGGTGCGTACGATTGCCAGTACCCAACACGTTCTTTTGCGATGTTACTGCTTCAGGGTGTACTCTCATAGGTCTTTCCTAAATTTATCTGACTTGAATTGCGGCTTGGCCTGGATGTGTCTGAGTGCAATCACGACCAGAGCTCAGTCGAAGAAGTCCTAATGTGAATATGTCGGCACTTTGTTTGTTGCTGTTTTTTTTTTCCTGCTTCGGTTGTCTTTTTTCTCCAACGGTCGCATTTGCAATGTTGCTGCGTTGGGGCATACTCACACTAGCTCTTTCCTAAATGTATCTGACTTGAATTCGCTGGATGTATCTGACTGGAATCACATACAGAGCTCGGTCGAAAAGGTCCTAGTGTGAGTATGCCTGCACTTCGTTCACATATTTGTCTTTTTTTCCCCCCTTCGACTTTAGGTTTTTCTTTCTCATTTTTTTTCCTTTTCATTTCTCTGTTGTTTGGTGCACATGAAACAAGAAACCTGGTGCAAGATGTGGCTTTGTCTGTTTGACTACTTACGTGTGATGGATTGAGAAGCGGCTCGGCCAGCCCCCCTGGGCCCGTTCACTGTTTTATGCAAGGCCATAAACTGGCCGTCATTTTCATGGTGCATTTACGGCTGCGACTTATGGAGACAGCTCGGAAGGGGGGCTGTTCAGTGCAGTCTTCTCGTGCATGCGTACGCTATGCACTGCTCATGTACAGTAAGGCAGTGTGCCGCGCATGCACAAATGTGTGGATGGTGTGCGTATTCAAAGAATGCGAACAACTGTTGGCCAAAGGCACACCAAAACGGTCACCAGATCCTTCTTTTGAAAAAAAATGGACCGTTCAGGCCCAGACGATTGGTAGCCACGGACCATGATCTCCGAGTGGGTTTTTCTTTTCTGATTGGCATCGCCTCGCTTCTTGTCATGAATGCTCTGGGTCTGCCCCTCTTTTTAGGACCTTGAGGACAAAAGGTTTCTGAAAGTGAAAGTCCTCTTGTTGAGTAGTGAGGGCAAGCATGTTTAACTGCTAGATGGAAAATTGGCATTTTTTTGTGGAATTTGGGAAACGGTTATTTGTAACGGGTTTCTCGTTTCCTTCTCCGGCAGTGTTCCTTCTCTCTGCCTTCGTTCTTTTTCAGTCTTTCCCTCTGCTTGACATGACACCTCGCTGCTGATGTCAGTATATGCTGTGTTTTTCTTGTGGGGCTTCTTTTGCATCAAGTGGACGAGGAGACTGTCGGGTGAATCTGACATCGAGTTGGATGTTAGGGTGAGAAGTACTGGTTGGCGGAATCACTGGGCTGCACGGATAAGGTGTTTGTTCAACTTTGTTGCCTTCCAAATAGTGTGCAGGGGCGTTATGTCTTCATTCGGTGAAATTTTAAGGTCAGATAACTAGCTGAGTCTCCAGCAAGTCCTCCAGACATCCAGAAGGCGGTGGTAGAGATCCTCCATGCCCCCATTTCTCTATCCCTTTCTCACGTGCCTTGGAAAGATGTAGTTTATGTCTTGGGTTTGTGACCAATCGTCCTGCTTTTTGCTGAGTCTCTCTGATTGCTCAGACTCAGTCGAGCTCCCACCATCATCCATGTTGACAGACATAATACAAATGCTGAATGACGCCCCGCTTACTGACGAGCTGTTGGTGCACTTTTTCTGTGGATTGTGCCTAGCAGGGGAATCTGAGACTGGGCTGTACCCTGTGGAGGATGTGAGGAGATCCTACGTTTTTCGTGATGGTCTATGGATGCGTTGCCGGGAGGCGCCACAAAGCCCTTTGAGCAAGGTAGGCTTTGCCCGTTTCCTGCTGTCTCTTTGTTTGTTTGTGCTACTGTTATTCACCTTCCGGCCAAATAATGTCACTTGCCATTGGGTTGCAGGACAGCTGGTGGTGGTTCTTTGTCTCCAGTTGAACAGGAACTCGGGGCGTATACCGTTCTCGGCGCTTCTCGGCCTTTTGGCTAAGATCAAGTGTAGCATTTGTTCTGATTAGTTTAATATCTTATCAAAAAAAAAAAAAAAAAAAACAACGAAAACTCAGGGCCTACTCAACTATAACTGTTTCTCCCCTTTGCTCCTGCATTTTGTCTGTTCATGTCACTGATATTCACCTTTTGGCCACATATTTTCTTGACTATTGGGTTGTGTCTACTCTTTCCTCCTGGGTGCTTCTGTTTGAGCCACTGGTGTTCATTTTACGGCCAAGTGTTTCTGTTGCTATTGGGTTGCAGGGCAGCCAGTGGTTTGCTTTTTGTCTCCGTGTTAATGTAAACCTGGGCCATAATCGCAGTACAACTGTTTTTAACTCGATTTGGCTGTAGTTTTAAATATACATCCAGGAAGGTGCTACTGTGACCATTCCCTAAGCTGCAGGCTGGGTAACAAGCAGTGCAGTTGACATAGAAACTTTCTGATTGGTGTTTAACGTCTTGGTTCCACAGGTTGATCAAACAGGCCGACTGTGGCAGGTTCATATGTATGAACTTCGACTTTTATACCTTTTCGATGTCAAATGACACATGCATTGTTCACCGAGGATTAAAACTTTGAACTCTTTATTAGTGGAGCAATGCAGAAAAGACCAGTATGATTTCTGCCATAGGATGATTGAGTTTTATTTCCTGTGTTAAGATGAGGTTTGCCCAGGACATTTGAGCGAACCTAGTAACCGAAATTGCATTCGCATTTCTTTTCCAATTCTCTGTCATTGCCTTACTGAAAACATTCGCGGCAAATTCTACTGTGATTGGTTAAAGTTTTTCTTGCCTGTTTCATTCATCTGACCTTAATGAAGGCTGACTTCAAAGCCATCACCCCATTACTGTGACCACCGTGGTGACCTCATGGGTGCCAATTGTTCAGTGTGTTCATTGGATGGCCAATTCAACAGTCACAGTTTTTCTTCTGCACAGGGCCGTAGCTCTCTAAGGAAAAATCGTGCTGGTTTAAACCAACTATCCCTCCGGGTGAAGGTAGCTTAAAAACCAGTCTAAGGTCTGGTAAGTGGGATCTCAGTTATCCCACTACTGCAAAAGAAGAAAGAACTCTAATTCAACAATCATACCCTATAATGTTTACATGACGTATACGGTAACTTCTCCTATGTTGAAAGCGGAGGCACATGGTCTTGTTTGTCTGCTACGCATCGTCATTCTTTTTCTTCCCCTTTGCCCCCCCCCCCCTCTTCTCCTCAAATCAGGTCCTGACTGCCCTGGCTCCATATCCATTCTGGGGACCACCCCCAGGAAGTCAAGAAGGTACACCAATTACACATGCACACTTGCCTCCGTTTGCCTGAAGGATCCCTGAACAGCACTGACTACTCCCTGATACAGGAGGATTGACTGTCAGCTTGCCCTTCTCATTTATTCCTCTCAGGTTTGATCTGTGGACCTGTCCGCTTTGGATATCCCCGCCTGGAATCATGAGATTGCACCGTCGTCTCCCATCCTGTATCGGTCCTAGAATCTTTTTGATCAGCCATGCCACACCATTGGCCATTGTTGTGGCACGCCTTCTGTTTGTCGGGATCTCGCAGGGATCTGGGATCTCTGTGTCCAAGTGCTTGGCCTCCATTTTTGTTGTTGTTTCTGAACTGTGCCAGTCATTGAATTTTAGTCGCATGTCATTGGTGTCTACCACCTTGTCCTTGATTAGCCAGACTCTTCTGAAAGATGGACCCTCATTCTGACTGTATAAAACCGGAAAGCTAGCTTGTATACATTTGGGTTTGTTGTGTTCGGGGGTAGATTGTAGTATGTATAACAAAATACAAGAAGGGCCAATGCCACCATCGACTGTGGATGCCATTCAAGTGACCACAGTGCACCCTGTGAGAATGTACATTGACATTAGATACGTTCAGGTACAGATGAGGCATGTGTCCTCCTGCAATTCCTTACAGATTCTGTGAGAAACCCATCAGTTATTGCCAACGTTTTCAGTGTTGTTGAGGTCTTTCTTGTTCACAGAGAAAGGGGGGTGGTTCTTCGAGTGATCTCTGGTGCGAACAAGGGACTAAGTTTTTCGTTCTAGTCTATGATAAGTTGTATCTGACTCTTCAACATCTACAGGTCTATGCTATTTCCTTCTGATGATGCTGCACAGTCGTCTGATAAGGCATTGCAAATTATGAGTCCCCTTAAGCTAATGTTTGCCTGAGTGTTTCCTCTATGCCTCCACTGTGGAAGTCTGACCCACTGGTATACACATCTGCAGAAGTAGCTCCAGTAGCTGCCCGCCTTTCGGGAAAAAGGTATGCTGACCGAAAGCAGACTAGGCTCCACTTTAGGCGCCGATTTTAGTACAGAAACAGTGGATCTTTGATGATAAGAGTGAGCGTACTGAATCCTGGCTTTGTCCATGAATGGATGGAAATGTTAGCTAAAGTAAAAGAATTGTCTTTCGTCTATTGTGCTTCCTGAGACTTCTGCTTCTGGAAAATGGGTCTAAGCGTCCAGGGCACAAAGTTTTGGAAGGTCCTTGGTGTGTGAGATCTTTGGGTAATGTGTGTGCAGGCTACACATGGTGCCCTTGGAGCACAGTCAGGTGTTCTATGCCACCAGTGCAGGTGGCCCTTGCCCATCTATGCCCTCCTGGTTGTGGGCAGGACCTGGTTTGAGTATTGGAGTTCAGTCTGGATATAAGGATGTTGCTGTAGTTATTGATTGATGCTACAGAAACCAAGCAGCATCGTACACATGAGACCAGATAGTCGTGACCTCGAACCAAAAGCAGAATTGCAACACGAGTTCCACCAAATAAGAGCACAGCAAAAGCTCATAAGTGACAATGTTGGAATAGTCTCATCATCATCAACAAAGAACCAATGTCGACATCCTATCTGGCGCTCTGCGCCCAGACTACAAATGACAGATCCTATCTAGCCTATCTACAATGCCGCTGGTGACGTCAACAGCTCCCCGAAGTATGAGCAGATCTCGGCCAATGCCGTTCGCCTCAAGCACCAGGTATGTCTCTCGTATCACTCACAACCTCGATCCCCCACTCACAGATGCCACGTGCACCCAAGGACCACCATGCGCCCCATCCAGCATACAGCAGCGCAGCTCGGCTATGGCTGCCTACTCATCCAGCTCGCCCGTCAGCACATGAGCGCTGGCCAGCGTCTAGCGCAGCATGCAGCCAGTGCCCGAATGAGGAGTGCTGGGGCAGGCACTTTCCTAAATGGAAGTGACCTCCTGCTGCGTGTGGCCTGCCTGCACTGGGCCTTGGTCCAGCAGCTTCCAGTAGGCCCCATGAGGCTGAGCCCCAGTCCGAACGAATCAGGCCAAGGCCTGTGGTGGTTACCCATGCCCAACTGCCGGCAGCCTGTGTTCGGCCCATGTTGCATATCTGGCCCAGGGCCTGCCTCAGTTACATGCAAAAAAGGAAGCCTGGGCCTGGGCGCTCTCAACCAACTGGCGCTGCGCAACTGCCTGAATTTCCCCAGTTGCGTGGTGACCCCAAAAATGGGCCTGTAGGCGTTGGTCGAGCCTGCCTTCACTTAGGGCGGCCGACTGTACTGAAAATAGGGCCCAGTAGGGCGTATCGAGACCTTAAGCCTCGCACTCGGCACTCATTGATCTTTATTCTAGGCATTCAATGTTGAAGATCGACGATTACACCGACCTGTCCCCGTCGCAATGAACCTTGAGAAGATGACCCCGGGGCTTACCCTGCGCTTCTGACCCAACATATGGCTTATTGGATTCATCAATGTTGCGTGTGTGCGGCCCAGAACATCTAAGGCCATCACGTGCATGTTGTTGCCTCGGATTTGCATTGGCTTTCCCTCCAACGGTCGGTTAAAGTAGAAACACCGGAAAATGGTAGGGAAGATAGGCATTGTGTTGAGCAAACCTCCGTTATATTTGACAAGTCAGGTTTTATGTGGACTGAAGAAACCAGTCCATGAGTAATGAATAACCTCATGCATGATGGATGACGCCAATCAGGAAGTCGGCCGGTATTATACAGTTACAACTCTGGGGAGTCTCTTCGAGTGTCTCCAACCACTCTGGCCAGACCTTTCTTCTCGAGCGAGCCTCTACGAAGAAATGTGGCTCGAAAGAGCGAGCTGGGAGTCTGGATTTCGGAACCTGGTTACCAGCCATTGCGTGGTTTCTTTAGGTCTTTGCCTGCTATCGCAGAGACCTTAGCCCGTGAGCGAAGCTTGAATTTGGCAACATAGAAATTTTGAATGTTTTTGAATCTATGGTTTTAATTCTACTCTCTACTTGTGTAGTATGCTTTTCATGATCTCATCTTATGATTTGATTGCCATGTATTTAGCTATCGAACTTCAAGCCAAAGCAATCTAATATACTCGGAAAAAAGCAAAGGCCGTAGGCTCGCTAGCTAGAGAAAGATTAATCACTACAATGATACTTTTTTCTATTTTTTTAAGCATCGGTTTAGTTTCTGGCGTTATGGTTATATGTGCGAGAAACCCCCCAGGACTTCTAAGGGCATCACATAGAGAAGGCTTCCTCCACCTTCCGTTTGCTAGCCGTCGAACATTCTCTTAAAGTCAAAAAAAAGAAAGAAACCAGTCCATGTGCTGGGCCCAGAACTTCTAAGGGCATCACATATATCAGGCTTCCTCCACCTTCCGTTTGCTAGCCGTCGTCGAAAAAACAAACAAACAGGAAAATGCTTGAGAAGATAGGCATTGTGTTGACCAAACCTCCGTAATATTTTACAAGTCAGGATGAAGCTCCTACAGATGAAGAACAGTGCTGAAGAAACCGTTCCATGACTGTACCTAGTCTGGTCTCCCGTGCATAGTCTGGTCTAATGGCTTATGCAAGTAAGTTTTCGTCGTTCCTCTTGATATCTCGTTAATCTTGTGTACCTAGCCTGATTGTCCATGCAAAAAGTGGACGTGCTTGTGAAAAGTGCACATGCTATTGATAGGTGCACATAATATTGAAAAGTGCACGTGCTATTTCTGAGACTGAACCTTGAATGAGTTGGAGACTTCAGAGCAAGATAGGGTTAATGCAGAGAAGAGGCTAGGATGGTTCTGAATTCTGCAAGCCCTGTGTCAATCAGCGGTGGACCAGACTGCTGACAGTCGTCATCTGTTGGAATGTTTGATCACTGAAGGAGGCTGAACAGAGATCACCCGACTCCAGAGGTTCAAGCCGGAAGCGAATGAAGGTGGGTCCCTTTGAAATCTGTCTTCTCGCCATGTCTTGTCCTGATCACCGAATCATTTGTATCAGGTCTTCCCACTCTGTTTTTTCAGTAGAAAAAACAAAATCAGTATGTCCTCAGGACTTTTGCATGTTTGTGAGTGGCTATTTTGGAGTCTGCAACATGATCACATTTGTGTCCAACAGGAACCCAGAGACTCGAGCAGGAAGCGGATGAAGGTGGGTCATTTTGAAATCTTTGCTCTCGCCATGTCTTGTCCTGTTCTCCCAACCGTCTGTGTTAGTTCTTTCCACTCTGTTCTCTCTTTCTTTCAGTTACAATGTAACTGGAGAGTAGAGGGGGGGGGGGGGGGGGGGGGGGGGGGGGGGGGGGGAATGCTATCTGTATACGTTTCTGAGTGGCTGCGTACAAGGCTGAAACATCGTCAGGTGTGTCGAATAGGCGACGGTATGAAGTAGGCTCAGCCAAAATGGGTCTCTAACTATGCATACCTTTTATATGTATGTTTATAGGCAGGAGAGAGAGAGAGAGAGAGATACAGACAGACAGACAGACAGACAGACAGACAGACAGACAGAGAGAGGAATGAAAGTTGAAAATAAGCTCAAGAGGAGGGGCAGGGGGAAGTGGAAGGGTGTTGAGTCACGATAAGGAGCTGGGATATGGTGGGCAAAGGGGCCAAGCATCATGCAGGTATGCTGGGGCCAGAATCCTGATAAGTGGGGAACTAGAGGGTGTACAAAGGGGAGAAAAGAAAGACTCCTGATATGAGGTGGTCAGAATTGCAATCGGAACAGGCGGAGAGGGGGGAAGGGGGAAAGGGAATGGGTAAAAGTGATGGGTGGTGGTGCGATCGCAACATCGTGAAATAGGCTCTCAGCCAAAATGTGTCTCTATGTACACCTCCCGGGGATTTTTGAAAGGAGACTTTATACCATAGTTGTGGGGCATCTATGCGCTGCGCGATGCGCCACGCGCCCCCGGGCAGGCACGCGCACTGATGTGCGCGCATTGTGCATGGAAGCGCTATACATGATGCGCTGCGCGACACTCCGCTGCGCAGTGTGCCAGTGCGCCGGGGGTTGCGCAAGGCTCGCACATCAGCGCACGTTGTGCATGGAGCATTTTTTCAACGATGGGGAGGATTCAGGAGGAGGAGAACGATCGGAAGGATTGAGGAGGAGGAGAACGATGAAGAGGGAGGACGTAGGGAGTGGAGGGAGGAGCACATTGATGATGAGGGAGTAGGGGGAAGGTAGAAGGGCGGAGGGAGGAGCACACCGATGACACGAAGGAGGGAGGGGGAGGAGAACAACTGAGGGAGGATTGAGGAGGAGGAGAATGATGACGAAGGCGGACGGAGGGAATGGAGGAGGGAGGAACAACCGATAACGAGCTAGTAGTGGGAAGGTAGAAGGGCGGAGGGAGGGATGAGGAGGGAGGAGCACACCAATGACGAAGGAGGGAGGGGAAGGACAACAACAGAGGGAGGAGGAGATCGATGAGGGAGGATTGAGGAGGAGGGGAACGATGGGGAGGATTGAGGAAGAGGGGAACGATGGGGAGGATTGACGAGGAGGAGAACGATGGGGAGGATTGACGAGGAGGAGAACGATGGGGAGGATTGACGAGGAGGAGAATGATGATGAGGGAGGACAGAGGGAGTGGAAGATGGAGGAGCACATCGATGATGAGGGAGTAGGGGGAAGGTAGAAGGGCGGAGGGAGGAGGGTTCAAGTTTATTGACAAATTTATAAATTAATATAATAAAAAATACAATAAAAAATATAAAATAATAGAAAATACAATAAAAACAGAGTAGAACGACGGAGGGAGGAGGAGATTGACGAGGGAGGATTGAGGAGGAGGGGAACGATGGGGAGGATTGACGAGGAGGAGAGCGATGGGGAGGATTGACGAGAAGGAGAACGATGGGTAGGATTGAGGACAAGGAGCACGAGGACGAGGAAGGGACAGAGGGAATGGAGGAGGGAGGAGCACACTGATTAAGAGGTAGAGGGGTAAGGTAGAAGGGCGGAGGAGTAGGAGAATGTAGGAGAATGACAACGAAGGAGAGCGCTATGATAAGCGGGGGAGTAGGAGAACGATGACGAAGGAGGGAGGAAGGGGGAGGAGGAGAAGAACGATGAGAAAAAAAATGGGGAGGAGCAGGAGTTGCACAGTTTTCACACACACACACAAGGAGGGGGAGGAGTACACCAATGACGAAGGAGTGAGGGGGAGGAGAACAACGGAGGGAGGAGGAGATTGACGAGGGAGGATTGAGGAGGAGGGGAACGATGGGGAGGATTGATGAGGAGGAGAACGATGGGGAGTATTGACGAGGAAGAGAACGATGGGGAGTATTGACGAGGAGGAGAACGATGGGGAGGATTGACGAGGAGGAGAACGATGGGTAGGATTGACGAGGTGGGGAACGATGGGTAGGATTGAGGAGGAGGAGAACGATGACGAGGAAGGGAGGGAGGGAAGGGAGGAGGGAGGAGCACACTGATGAAGAGGGAGGATGGGTAAGGTAGAAGGGCGGAGGAGTAGGAGAATCTAGGAGAATGACGACGAAGGAGAGCGCTATGATAAGCGGGGGAGTAGGAGAATGATGACGAAGGAGGGAGGAAGGCGGAGGAGGTGAAGAACGATGAGAAAAAAAAATGGGGAGGAGGAGGAGGTGCACAGTTTCCACACACACACACACACAACAGAGAGAGAGAGAGAGAGAGAGAGGGAGGGGCTGGTGGTAACCCACCTGGACATGGCTGCTTCCTTCGCCCCCTCCTGCTGCTGAGTCCTTCGGCTCCTTCCTGCCGGTGTTGGGCAGGCCCGAGTAGTTCAAAAATGAACTACTGTCCCGCTTTTTTTTTCCTTTGCCGGGCCCCTCGCGCCCTTAAATTTTTATTTTTTTTCGGTACCAGGCACGCGAAGTGCCTAGTGGGCCTACAACACCACCCCCCAAACTTTTTTCTTTTCGGTGGACTCTGTAATTTTGGATTGTGCCGCATGCCGTGAGCGCGCATGGTGCGCACTGCGCAGTGCGGCGCATGTGCGCTTTGCAGAGCGTGTCGATGCGCTGCAACTTGGCTTTATACCCATGGCTTTTCATGCTGACATGTTAAGATTCTACAATCAGAGAATACTCGGAATCCTGAATTACTGCTACGCGTCAAATCTTCAGTGCTTTGCAGGCGCCCATGAGAGATCACTTTTTTGAAGTAATGATGTGCCGCAATTGATCGAGCGATCATCGTGCCTCCGTGTTGTTGCCCTTGGCCTTGGGCTGTGTGTGCACTTGCTTGGGTCTAGACGAGAGAATTGAGATTCGTGGTTCACTTCTTGATTCTATCCTGGCACTCACTCCACTCGCCAGAGCAGATGCTTCGTGTCTGCTCTGTGTATACTTTCGCAGCAGAGAACGAGAGAGAGAGAGAGAGAGAGAGTGCTTGTTGTGGCAGTAATTGGCAGTGACAGGGGCAGCAGGCCAGCAGCTAATCTGACAGGTCACATCACCTGAGGCAGGGGCTCTTCATAGTGAAGGAGGAAATTTGTCATGGATCCCGTGTCAAAGTCGAGTGCGGTATCGCTTGGTTGAAGGCAGGGAAAACAGCACTTTGATGTGGCAGCTGCCTGTGAATTCTGTAAATTGTAGGCTGAGCAATGAGCATACGTGTGGTGCACCGGTGCGGTGCGCCATGCGCCTTGCGCGCATTTTTTTTGTTTTTCATTTTTTTTTACGTGGGGTGTGTCTCTATAAACGAGAGAGAGAGAGAGAGAGAGCACCTCTTTCGCGTAAAGAGGAGGGTCACTGCAAGGAATCTGAGGGGTCCCTCCACTAAGTAAGCGAAGGTCCTATCACCAAGCAGAGGTGGGCACCGTATTTGCAGAAGCAAGAACAGCCCAGGAATATATATAGCGTGAATTGGAATTCTGGTCTATGTTTAAGCAGTTATGGGTTGCTAACTTAGCCAGGCCCTGTTGGGCTCTGCACGTGAATCTCAGAGCTTCTCGCTGAATGTGCAAAACTAGAATGAATATTCCGCTTGAACATAGAACCATACGCCGCCATATGTTTTGTCTTTTGTGCGTGTAGTGAGTAGTGGACCGAGATTTAGGGCCACTCCATCTATTCCTAAGAAAAGAAGAACAAAAAAAAGAGAATCGCGTGCAGAGATCTGGCCTAGCTAACCCATAACTGCTCCACAGACCTGAATTCAAATCCAGAGCATATATTCGGCCTGCCCACGCCCTGCTCACACTTCAATGACCATCTCTGCTTCATGATGAGCTCTTGCCAGTTTTCTGCAAGGGTCCTTCGCAAAAGAGAGTGGAAAATAGAACATGCATACACAGTGGTTTTTTTTTTTTTTTTTTTTTTTTTTNAATATAACCTCTTTATTTATTTATTTTTAATGAAAACAGAACCTTGCGGTTCTAGCTCCTTTTCCATTTCTGGGGAGGATCAGTCCGGTTCCTTTTTTTTTTTTTTTTTTTTTATTTTGGACCATTTCTCGATTTATGTGTGTCATCCTTGCGCAGGGGCCATGCTAATCTTCTCTGTATCGTTCCAATTTTAACGGATGTCCCGAAGGACGGCAAACGCAGTTTTTAGGCTTCACGTGGCCCCAATTCTTTTTCGTCTGCACTGAATTTTTAGACGGGAGGGGGCGGTTTTAGCTTGAGGGTTTAGGGTTTAAGGTTTAGACAGAAACAAGGCATACAGGGCTTGGGATGTTAGAGATTTCAAGATAGGCTCGTAGGCGTTCCAAACCGCTCTAGCACAACACACCAGCCCGACAGCATCACAGCTGAGAGGAGCGGGCCTGGGTTCAGACAGATTGGCAACAGCCAGGCAGATCAAATAGCACAGGCTAACTTAGGCAGGGGTGAGGGGTGGTACATCCTTCCTCAGGGAAGTAATCAATGCTGTCCACTCGGACCTCCCAGCCATAATGGGGAGGAGTGTGCGTGAGTCTCCCATGTTTTCCATATTGACTTGCCGCTATATAAAAAAAAAAAAAAAAAAAAAAAGAAGGGAGGGGGCGTGTTTGGTCACCACACCCTGCCCTTCCCGAATTTTTTTACTGACCCCCTATTTCGGGGATGCGCCGCATCGCGTGCGCGTGCGCTCTGCGCTGCATGTGCCGCGACCCCGCGCACGGGATGCGCCGCAAGTATGAGGCTGAGCGAAACAGCTGGACAGCATTTGTTCCAGAACCAGTCGGCCTGGATGGGATGGATCAATAGGGCCCCAACGTTTGAGCCGCCAAATTTTTGGGGTGCCCCACGACATGACGAAAGAGTGGGGGACCCCCACCATGACAAGACGTCCGGACCTGGTACATGCAGATTATTTACATGGCAGTCTGGATGTGTGGATTCTAACCATGGGTGAGAAGGCGGTAGCAACAAGTGTTGTCATCTGGGCCATGATGCTGGCTTTCAAGCTCAGGTCTGGCTGTCGCAATTGGATTTACAATGCATTTGTGGTATGCTAACTGTGTGTTCTACCTATGGTTTGATTGCAAGGACGTTGTCAGAGAACATGCTTTCATCTCTCTATGAATGAGCAAGCCACAAGGCTGGGCTGAAAGTGAGACCTTGTTCCCTGAGGATGAGGGTATCAAAGGTTTGTTGTCCTGATTTTTTTTCAGTTTCTTGCCCATTGTCTGTGGATCTGAACTTGCTTTCCGTTGCCACCATACCGGATCTTTTGAAATCTCCAAACGCTGTAGATGGTTCTCACAACAAATGTGCGCATCCCTGGATGATTTGCTGATTCTTGCAGAATATGCTAGCCTTGGTGGCAGCCAGTATTGAGCAGGAGGAGTTACGACAAAGCAAGTCGCTGCAGAGTGAGGGTGCTTGTGAAGCTTCCGACGAAGAGGATGTTGTGATGATTGGTGACACTGAAGGAAGGGTCGAGAAAAAGCCCAGAGTTTCTATTGGAACCACTGCCACTCCTGCACGGTTGAGGGGGCGAGGAAAAGCAGCAGATCACACTGGTCAAAAGGCTACTGGAGAGTTTGGAGAAATCGAAGCTGCTGTTTGTAGTGCCACGAAAGAGAGAAAAGGAGGAAAGAAGCCGGGTAAGGCAGGAAAACATACAGGTGAAAGGTCTGAAGAAGCACCACCAAAGAGAGGAAGAGGAAGGCCTCGTAAAGTTAAAGTTGACCCCACTGATGTTCCAGCCCCTTCTGCTGCTGCTTGCAACGAGTCGAACCATTTGGAGTTAGCAGGAAATGTGGCCGATGGTAAGGAAGCAGAGCTTGTTCCCCGTAAAACTGGCAGAGGTAGACAGCAAGCTTCTACTTCAGTCACACTAGAAGAATCCCCTGGGGCTTCAATGAAAAGGATTGCGAGGACAGTGGGTGCGGACAGGGCAGCAAAGGCTATGGCCGAAAACCTTAGGACTCCACCTCCAAGCAGAGTGGCTCACTTGTCAACCATAGGTATCGATAGCATGGGTCCCGCAGGAGGAATGGATAATGTAGACGGAGATGCCTCCGTTCGGAAGATGTCACCGGTGCGGAAGGTGACTTTTGTAGACCTGTTGGATTCTAGGGAGGAGGGAGTTGACGCTTTTGCGGCCGCGTCAATAGTGAATTCTCCTCAGGCTGCACAAGGGAGCCCACGGGAGATAGGAACTGCTCAACAAGATCAGACTTTGGTTGGCAGCGCCAGGGTCAAGTCCAGGCAACATGTGAAAACTTCAAAGGAGGCTGATGAGGTTGTTAACAAGGTCACTCACGGGCGAAGGACAGCCCGCATATCGGATCAAAAATGTGGGGTGGAAGATACCAAAGCCAGTGGAACTCAGGGAGGGCAAACGACATCACCTGGGGAACCACACACGTGTACAGAGGCTGGTCTGATGGCCCAGCGTGTATCAACACGGAGAAAAAGAGAGAGAGAAGTAGGTGTATATGATTCCCTGGTTGAACCAGGCTTCGCTTCGGGGGTTAAGAAGGGTCGAGAAGGTAAAGGGGGAAGGAAAAACAGCAAAGGCAAGGGTCGGGGTGATGAGAATGAGGGCGCAAGGGGTGATGAAGATGATGATGTGCAACTAATAGAGAACAAAGGAGATGAAGGGAAGTCGGAGAGGCAAAAACTTATAGTGAACAGTGAGGGGAAAGAGAGAAAGCTAGTGGGAACTCGGCAGTCTAAACGGATTGATGGAAGGCAACGCGAGGAGAATGCTAAGGCTCAGATACTGCAAGAAGAAAAGAGGGCAGCACAATCAGATGCGGAAAATCTGGCAACCAAGGGGAATGCTATTGTTGAACAAGCAGTTATTGACCTTGCTTTGTCATCGTCATCAGATAGCGAATGTCAGGAAGCAGAGCAAGGGCCTATTAGGAGGGGCCTTGTAAAGCAAAGCACGGGAAGGGGCTTCAAGGAAACAAGAAAAATAGGAAGCCAGGCTGGAACGCTGGGGAGAAACTCCATGGGTATCCGGGAACAGAAAGACGCGGATGCACAGTCACCTGTACAACCCAGGAGAGGTGTCGGTGCAAAGAACAAAACTGTCCCCAAAAGGTGGAAGGAGCTGAGGGAGGTGGAGCCCGGAAGAGACGCTGGCGAGGAAGCCGTTTCAAAATCTCAGAGAGGAGCAGCAGATCACGGAAAAATCGTTGGCCCATTGCATTCCAGGAAGCTTCGTGAAGTTGTCACAGATGCTCTCTCGGGGGATAATGATGACGATGGGGCTGTTGATGCTGATGATGATGTCCAAGTGCTTGATGAAAGGGAACCCACTGTTAATCGCAGTAATCGCAGAGGAAAAAGAAAGGAGCTTGACCAGCCTGCAAGAGAGACTCCTCTGGTAAGCCGGACACAGAATATCCCCTCATGATGTTTGTATGTGTGTCTGCATAACCTGAATGGCTGTAAACAATTGCTCACGGAGGTGTCAGTTCCTTCCCTGTCGTGGAGACTCTCCTGGAGGAGGTCACTATGTGTACTGAATGCTCGCGGAGCATGCTTCGGTGTCTAACCAGGCTTGCTCCACCCCTCCCTGACCTCTATAGCAGGAGAACTGGAACCTTTACTTCATTATCGCAAGCCTTAGTTCTTGCAGCTTGTATTTTTCCGTTTAGGATGGTCTTTCAAACTAGGAGACAGTGGTGAAGACCTTTATCGTGACTTGGAAGTATATTTTCATTCAAGACCCTTCATTGTCACTTCTGTGTATATTGCATTTTGAGTTAATGGCACCTTCGGGACAGCCATTAAAATTGGAACACGGCAAATTCAAAAAAAAGAAAGGTTTATGCTAACCTATATCTGTTTCATCATTTCATGGTTTTGAGCATATGGTTTTGAGCATACTTGCGGCGCATCCTGTGCCCGGGGTCGCGGCACATGCGGCACAGAGTGCACGCGCACACACGTGATGTGGAAAGAAAAAAGAAAAAAAATTGAAAGGACAGGGTGGGGTGGTCAAACATGCCCCACGCTTCCAAAAATCCGAAAGCGAGAAAAAGTGTCCTTTTTTTGTTGAACTACAGCAGGGTTGCACACCCCGACGGTGGGCGGCCCTTGACTGGTCGGCACCTAGCAGTCGGGGATCATCGGCACCCCACACTTTTTTTTTTTGGGATCCACAACCCCTAATAACCCCGCCCACACCCCCATAGCGGCCCCCAATACCCGCATACACCAACCTAACACTCCCGAACCGCCCCCAACATCCTTGTTAACGCCCCCAATATTCCCTATATCACCCCTACACTCCGCCTCTACTCCAACCCATACCTGCGTCGTATCGCGTGCACGCGAGCTCCGCACGCGCGGCGCATAACGCACGTGTAAGCATGCACGCGCATGTGATGCGACGCACCTCACTAAATAGGGTATAAAAAAAAAATTGGAGAAGGCTGGCTGAGGTAGCCAATAGTGCACCACAGAAAAAAAATAGGGCCCACGTATTCCTTTTTGAATAGTCTTTTTCGCGGAGGACCCCAGCAGTACAAATGCAAGGGTCCCAACATCTCAAGAGATGTTCAGCAAATTCGTATGAAAGAAGAGCAGGCCAGCAATATATGTTCTGGATCCGAAGTCAGGTCTGCTTCCGAGCAGTTATGGGTTACAGATTACTACTTAGTACCGTAGCTCTCTCTTTTTTTTGTTTCTTTGGCCATATGAAGTAATGTTCTATTCGAATGCAGTGGTTTTTCCTCTTAGCGCGAACCAGCTGCCATAGTCCACTTGATACCTCTGACCGGTATTGGTAAGGTCTTTGGCCATATGAAGTAATGTTCTATTCGAATGCAGTGGTTTTTCCTCTTCAGAAATCGCAATAGAAAGGTCTTTGAACTTTAAAGTGCCATTCCATTAAAAGAAATGGACTGAACCTTTCAACGTTTTTTGGGAAACTCGAATACAACACCTATGCGTTATGTTGGTGCAAAGACAGTAGCCATCCCCTATGTCTACGGTAGATGGCCGTATTCCTCTATTCTAGTGTATAGTACTCTGACCCTCCTTCTATACCTCTGTTTTAGTATATAATACTCTGGCCAGCCTTCTATACCTCTATTCTAGTATACAATACTCTTGACTCGCCTTCTATATTTTTGTCCTACCCACTTTCTAGCCATACATTGCTGAAGGAAGTCCTAATTGACCTGATCCTATGCTTCTTCAAAGTCCAAACGAAAAAAAAAAAAAAAAAAAGCTGTGTGCAGCCTCCTATCCCGCCCGCGTAAGTTTTGTTGCTTCTATCAAACATACCACATGTTCAACTATATATCTTCCTGGTCCTGGTATAAAGCCTGTTTGGTCAATGTTGCAACTTGAAACATTTCTCTGCCACATGGGTGAGTCCTTTAGGTTACTGCAAGCAGCGATATGCGTCGGTGATTCCTGAGCTCCTGTTTTCCTCCTTTTCTGTGTAGGAGCAACCACCCCCCGTGCACAATCTCCCTGAATGTGCACTCCTGGAAAGCTTCTCGGTATAAGTCATACTAGTCATCCCCGATACTCTTTCCAGAATTCGTTAAACAAACCCATAGTTCACGGACACGTTTCCTGGCTTCACGTCGTCCAGAGCTTTCAATGCCCGCCCTTGCAATATATCGTTATCAACTTATTCAAGGTATGTCGGAGCCTCTGGTCTAAATGCTGTGTGCAGTGGGCTTCACACACTTTCAAGAACTTTTCCTACCTTGTGCCACACTGTCTATATCCCACCTCCACCTCGCCCATGGGGCCGATTCTTTGGGCATTTTTAATAACCCCTTCGTGCATCACAGATGACAGATTAGTGCAAGGAATATGAGCAATAGCGAGATGACAGAATCCAGATTGCACAATCACATTGAAAGCTAGAAAGTCCCCCAGTCTCCAGAAAGTAGCATTGCACCAATAATACACCAATGGAAAATCGTAACACTGAAACCGAATGTCAATAGAGAGCTTACGCTTGTCTTGGCCCTTCCCCCTACTTGGCGCTCGGCCCCCAGACTACTCCCCACACAGCTACTATGTGCCTACTAATTGACAATGCAACTGTTGACATCAGCAGCCACCGAAGTACATGAAGATGCCACCCGATGCAGACCATCCATCGCCAATACTAGGTATGAGCCCTCACATCATCATCCTCATCTCTCTCTCTCTCTCTCTCTCTCTCTCTCTCTCTCTCTCTCTCTCTCTCTCTCTCTCTCTCTCTC